GATAAGCGATGATTCCAGGATTCTTCGGTATTGAGTGTTGTCTTCTGTGGCGATAAGTCTTGAGTTTCTGTAGTTAATTAAATAGTTGTGTGAATTGCGATGTTGTACACAGGCATTCCTTGTATTGTCAGTCCTGCTTGCGTATAGGCGTTCTGAAATACGTGTTTGGAGGTCTCTTGATGTTTCGCCCACGTATAATTTGTTGCAGTCATTACAAGGGATTATGTATACCCCTGCAGAGGATGGAAGCTTGTCCTGTCTACTACTGGTTATGTCCTTGATGGTCATGGTTGTGGAGGTAGATACTTGGAATGAGGTATTGGAAAAGATGTTGGAAACATGTTTGGCAATGGAGTTGGTGGGGAGGACTATGTATCTCTTCTCAGCAGTGTCTTCTCTGGGTGTGTTGAAGAAGTTTAATGCCCGCTGTCTGCAGTCTCTGATGAAGTGACGAGGATAGTGGAGTTTAGAAAATACTTGTTCAATTATAGTGCATTCTTCCTCAAGGAACTCATTGCTGCAGATTCTGAGTGCGCGCAGGAAGAAGCCTATAATTACACCACGTTTAGTTTTGGTGTCGTGGTGAGAGTAGAAGTGGAGAAGATCGTTTTGGTTGGTTGGTTTTCAACAGACTTTAAAACGAAGTTCGTGGTCAGCTTTGCAGAGAAGAACATCAAGGAAAGGAAGAGTGTTGTCGACTTCTTCTTCAAGTGTGAACTGGATTGAGGGCTCGACCTGGTTGAGCTTGTCTTGGAGAGCTTGAACGTTGAAGCACCTGGGAGTTATGAGGAGAATGTCGTCAACATAACGGAGCCAGGTGACAGTCGAAGGAATAATGGTGGAGAAACGCTCGGCTTCCAGATGTTCCATGTATAAGTTCACCAGGACAGCACTGAGTGGCGAGCCCATGGGTAGACCAAAAGTCTGTTGAAAGAGGTGATTTTCGAAAGAGAAACACGTAAAGCCGACACATAGTTCAACGAGGTCGATGAAATCGCTGACTGGAATAGGAAGATCAAGTGAATCATCATTTTTTCTGTGCAGGAGATCGATGGCTTGTGTAGTAGGTACTTTGGTGAATAGGGAAGTTACGTCAAGGCTGGAAAGTTTCTTGTTCCTGATGTTGATGTTGCGATTGAGATCACCCGAGTGTTTGAGATGTGCTGGACTGACAGTGCCCAAGAGTTTGGAGAGGTGTTTTGCGAGAATTCCTGAGAGTTGGTGGGGAGCACTGCCTATTCCCGAAGATATGGGCCTCAAATTATACGTGGGCAAAACATCAAGAGACCTCCAAACACGTATTTCAGAACACCAATACGCAAGCAGGACTGACGATACAAAGGAATGCCGGTGTACAACATCGCAATTCACACAACCATTTAATTAACTACAGAAACTCAAGACTTATCGCCACAGAAGACAACACTCAATACCGAAGAATCCTGGAATCATTGCTTATCTCTATAACCAACAATTTCAACCAGAACAATGGCTTCTATAACATAGCTGAACCACTTGCCAAGAAACTTCATCGCTATCCCACATAAGAACACAGAACACTGCAGAAGGTCTGCTCACAACTTATCCAATACCCATTCCAAGCTACCCAAGATTTTAAGACTCTATAACCCCACCCGGTAGATCATCAGATGCAGCATTCTCCACCTGACCTCAACATTCTGAACCTGACTATAAATACTCACGTACCTTCCACCCCAGGTAGATCTGTTTGTGACTTGAAAAGCCCACTGTGTGGGCGAAACATTGTCAATAAAGGATCACATTAAACTGCATGTGTGTTTATGTTTCCTCTGTGTGAGGTGTTGTGACCTCTGTGTGGGACCTGATGAGCTGTTGAGTGTGAGCAGGGTAATATTTAGTGAAGGGATTTAGGTAGATTAGGTAGATGGCGAGAATATTTTGAGGAACTTTTAAATGTTAAGGAAGAAAGAGAGGCAGTAATTTCATGCACTGGTCAGGGAGGTATACCATCTTTTAGGAGTGAAGAAGAGCAGAATGTAAGTGTGGGGGAGGTACATGAGGCATTACGTAGAATGAAAGGGGGTAAAGCAGCTGGAACTGATGGGATCATGACAGAAATGTTAAAAGCAGGGGGGATATAGTGTTGGAGTGGTTGGTACTTTTGTTTAATAAATGTATGAAAGAGGGGAAGGTACCTAGGGATTGGTGGAGAGCATGTATAGTCCCTTTATATAAAGGGAAAGGGGACAAAAGAGACTGTAAAAATTATAGAGGAATAAGTTTACTGAGTATACCAGGAAAAGTGTACAGTAGGGTTATAATTGAAAGAATTAGAGGTAAGACAGAATGTAGGATTGCGAGTGAGCAAGGAGGTTTCAGAGTGGGTAGGGGATGTGTAGATCAAGTGTTTACATTGAAGCATATATGTGAACAGTATTTAGATAAAGGTAGGGAAGTTTTTATTGCATTTATGGATTTAGAAAAGGCATATGATAGAGTGAATAGAGGAGCAATGTGGCAGATGTTGCAAGTATATGGAATAGGTGGTAAGTTATTAAATGCTGTAAAGAGTTTTTATGAGGATAGTGAGGCTCAGGTTAGGGTGTGTAGAAGAGAGGGAGACTACTTCCCGGTAAAAGTAGGTCTTAGACAGGGATGTGTAATGTCACCATGGTTGTTTAATATATTTATAGATGGGGTTGTAAAGGAAGTAAATGCTAGGGTGTTCGGGAGAGGGGTGGGATTAAATTTTGGGGAATCAAATTCAAAATGGGAATTGACAGTTACTTTTTGCTGATGATACTGTGCTTATGGGAGATTCTAAAGAAAAATTGCAAAGGTTAGTGGATGAGTTTGGGAATGTGTGTAAAGGTAGAAAGTTGAAAGTGAACATAGAAAAGAGTAAGGTGATGAGGGTATCAAATGATTTAGATAAAGAAAAATTGGATATCAAATTGGGGAGGAGGAGTATGGAAGAAGTGAATGTTTTCAGATACTTGGGAGTTGACATGTCGGCGGATGGATTTATGAAGGATGAGGTTAATCATAGAATTGATGAGGAAAAAAAGGTGAGTGGTGTGTTGAGGTGTATGTGGAGTCAAAAAACGTTATCTATGGAGGCAAAGAAGGGAATGTATGAAAGTATAGTAGTACCAACACTCTTATATGGGTGTGAAGCTTAGGTGGTAAATGCAGCAGTGGAGATGTCCTGTTTAAGGGAAATGTGTGGTGTAAATATTATGCAGAAAATTCGGAGTGTGGAAATTAGGAAAAGGTGTGGAGTTAATAAAAGTATTAGTCAGAGGGCAGAAGAGGGGTTGTTGAGGTGGTTTGGTCATTTAGAGAGAATGGATCAAAGTAGAATGACATGGAAAGCATATAAATCTATAGGGGAAGGAAGGCGGGGTAGGGGTCATCCTCGAAAGGGTTGGAGAGAGGGGGTAAAGGAGGTTTTGTGGGTAAGGGGCTTGGACTTCCAGCAAGCGTGCGTGAGCGTGTTAGACAGGAGTGGAGACGAATGGTACTTGGGACCTGACGATCTGTTGGAGTGTGAGCAGGGTAATATTTAGTGAAGGGATTCAGGGAAACTGGTTATTTTCATATAGTCGGACTTGAGTCCTGGAAATGGGAAGTACAATGCCTGCACTTTAAAGGAGGGGTTTGGGATATTGGCAGTTTGGAGGGATATGTTGTGTATCTTTATATATATATGCTTCTAAACTGTTGTAGTCTGAGCACCTCTGCAAAAACAGTGATAATGTATGAGTGTGGTGAAAGTGTTGAATGATAATGAAAGTATTTTCTTTTTGGGGATTTTCTTTTTCTTTCTTTTTGGGTCACCCTGCCTCGGTGGGAGACGGCCGACTTGTTGAAAAAAAAAAAAAAAAAAAAAATTTAGGGAAACCGTTTATTTTTATATAGCAGGACTTAGAGTCCTGGAAATGGGAAGTACAATGACTGCACTTTAAAGGAGGGGTTTGGGATATTGGCAGTTTGGAGGCGTACGTTGTGTATCTTTATACGTATATGCTTCTAAACTGTCGTATTCTGAGCACCTCTGAAAAACAGTGATTATGTGTGAGTGAGGTGAAAGTGTTGAATGATGATGAAAGTATTTTCTTTTAGGGGATTTTCTTTCTTTTTGGGTCGCCCTGCCTCAGTGTAAGACGGCCGACTTGTTAAAAAAAAAAAAAACAACACGAGTTATGTTCCTGAATATGGCATGTAATAAAAGAGAGTAACCTGAATTGTAGAGCATATGGGAAAAGTTACATTCATTACACCCCCAAAGATAGCCAGACAAATTTTGTAAAAAAAGCAATGATAATGTAAGTTGTGATGTGTCAAAGATTCCCAGCTCTGCTAGGAAGCAGATTTGCCTTATTAAGTGGTTATCCCACTTGTTGTAACTGTATGGGGATAATTATAAAGGTGGGATTAGAGTGGTTGGGGGTTATGTGAGGGCTTGCAGCAGTTAGGGTGAGGAAGGTTCAGTGTTGAGGGTGGGTGCAGGTGCTGGAGGACTGGTGTAACCTAAACCTGATTCCCTCCCATTTTCCCCAGACACTCTTGACTTCATGAATGGTAGGTTCTGTTGACTTAATACAAAGTTTTCAGGTCTTTTACTGCAATTAACATTTGGAAGGTTGAAGTCTCCAAGGAAAAAAGATATTTGTTGTAGAATTGAAGCTATCTTATCCGTCCTGTGAACGCCTCTGCTGATATATACAGGTGTCCCCTCTAAGGTTCCTTGTTGTGGGTAGGGGTTTATTCAAGCAATTATCTCCCATTAATGGCAGGAATAATATATACAAGGGCAATTACCAGATTGTTTTGAAGATTTAATGTGTAGAGCCTGTTATGTAATTTAACAATATTGCAGTCAGCCTTTAGGCTTACATCTACCCCAACACCTTGCTACTTACCAATACGTCAAATAGAGTTCTTGATCAAAATTAGGAATTTTCCTCTTGGACTGATGATCCCATTACCTTAGTGTGTAATGAATAATACTACAGTGAATTTTTCTTTTCAAGCCTTTGTAATAATTTGGTGTACAGTAAATACTGCTGTATGTACACTTCATATTTAAAGTATGCAATATACATCTTACACTAATGAAGTACATTATAAATGTCACTATGTACAATAGGTTTCAAGTTGAATAAAAAAAAATATTGCACATCTTAAATTGTAAATAAATAGTCAATGCAGTAGGACTGGCTGTAATTGTGAGTCTGGTTCCTGTGGTGCAAAAGTAGTGATGGCAGTTCTTTAAAGCCTAAGAGAAGCCCTGAAGCACTTCCCATTAGTAAAATTGCTAGTCCTCCATTTGTGCAAAGGTTATCAATTAAACTTTCATAGGTATGTATGTAAATGAAAAACTACTTGTAGGGTTCATTACTATCCACAGTTTTGGGTATCCATGGTAGATCTTTGAGCATATCTCCTTCAGATACAGGTCCTACTGTATGCAAACCCCTACAGCCTAGAGGTTGATTCCTTGTTGAGATGGGGTTTCATCCGGGGTTTCATCCATGTAGTTCTGTATCAAAAACTGCTCAGATGAAGAAAGTGGTTGGTCACTTCATTTCTCCCTTGAATTGAATTTGGCTGCCTGCCTAAGGCACTGGACCCAGCAGGTTTGATGCCCCTTGTCTGTAGTAAAAAAAAAAAAAAACTGTACAATGCAGAAGAATTGAAATATTTGACATTTCACAATTTATATATTGTGAAATGGAACATTTCAATATTGAAATTTGGAGAAATTTATCTATTTCACTTTTTTTTTTTTTTTTTTTAATGTACAGTACACAGTCATTTAACACAGTAGTTACATTCCTGAAAACGCTGTTAGGTAAAACAGTGCTCGAAGAACTTATGGGAAAAATAGGGTTATGGCCCTTGGAGCTCCAAAAAAGCCAAATAAGTTTTTTTTTTAGGCCTCTACATCTTACAAAAATAAGTGAATATGTAATTGTAGTTCATTGTCATGATGTATTATGTTTTTACTGCATAAGATTACAAATGCAACAGAAATAATATTTCTTAAATTGTGGGGAGTGGAGAGTTATGCTGTTTACCTACTGGGCTGAGGCGAATGGTAGAGGTTCTGGTACTGAAGTTGATGGTTTTACTGGAGTGTGCATAAATTCTGTTCTTTTACCCTACAGTACATTATACAATTGACAGTAAGGCATCAGCTACTCTAGACACCATTTCAACGTCCTCTTCAGTGAAAAGTCAGTCTCAATCACACAAACTCATATTTACCTCATTTTATGTGCACAAAGCGAGCTTCATTATGGCTACAGGTTATCTCTTGTCTGATATCTGTTTTCTTTGTAAATTCTAAGACTTAAATACTTATACCTTTTCTTGCCACTTTCAGCAATACTGGTATGCCTACTGGGTGTCATGATTGCTTGGCAGATACAAGCTATAGTAATTAAAAGATCAAAAAATTCACAAACACCACTAGCTTGTAGCAGAGAAGAGGAACCAACTGGACACATGAAGTATAAATGCTGGAATAGTGGTGGCAGGGGGTCTCCCCCCCCCACTGATCCACAAGAAGGGAAATTTTTTTCCCCTCCTGCAAACTGAACCATGTTAAATTAATTTTATGAAGTGCTAAAACTAGTTGTCTACTGTAGTTCAGTGATAGATCCAAAATATTTCAATATATTTCACTACAGTGGACCCTTGGATCTTGGCCATCAACTCTAAATTATTATTATAATCAAAAAGAAGCGCTGAGCCACAAGGGCTATACAGCATCAACTCTAAAATCATCCTGGACATGTCCATCCTGCCACTCTGCCGCTTGCGAGTCAGTTTGGCCGTGTCTCTCAGAGAGTGAGGAACACATTGTAATCGTCCATTGTTTTTCCTGGGTGTTTATTGAATGCAACTGCAAAATAAGCCACCGTTGGTCCAAAGAAAGTTGCTAGTAACGTTCCTTTGGTAAAGAAACACAATGGAATTAAAAAAAAAGAAATTGTAGCAAAGTACAAGAATGGTGTATGTGTGCTCCAGCTTGCCAGGCTGTATGGGAAATACAAATCAACAATCACTTCCATCCTGGCAAAAAGTAGAAATCAAGGAAGGGAATGTTGTGAAAGGGGTAAATATAGTAACGAAAGGAAGGTCACCAATAATCAGGATTTTACTGATTAAAGTCAAAACCCTGAAATGTTTTAGGAACTAACTGAACTATTTAAATCATATCCTGCTTTTCAGTGTCAACTACAAATTTTGAAATTCTCTAAAATTTTCTTAGAATACATACTTGATAAAATATCTACCCTTTTACACCCTCCTCAGCTCAACCATAATATACTCATCACAGTTACTAACCTCTATACAAATTTTCTGTAATCTATATTCCTACCTCCGCTCACTAATTCCCATTTGCCCTTATATTGTGTAAACTTTCACTTTGTCTTTGACTATTCATCACCTTCCTCTCTCCTTTACCTTTTCCAAAAATCACTCAAAAACTTGTGCTTGCTACTACCTTATATCAAATTTTTCTCAAGTCCATGCTTTTTTTTTTTAATAGTGTCACAAGAGAGAAGATACTCAACGAGACTAAGTATAGGGTAACAGCTTCATTTAGTACACCACAGTGAACTAGAAAATTTCACAATTAAATATTTCTTGCAGGTTCAAAGCAGCAACTTCATGACCTACAGCATCTTTGGTGGATACTGATATGTGCAGTGATCATAAAGAAAATATCTGCCACTCAATGTAATTTAACCTATTAAACATACAATATTGTCCTCCTTTAATTTACCTGATTGACAACAACTTGACAATGTATGGGTCTGGTTAAATGAAATGTTTTGTTTTACAGAGCACTAATGTACTAATCACTATACTTTGGATAAAATACTTTTTGTGATAGTATGTTTGTTCTGATATCCAGCTTTACTTATTTTTAACATGTTGTCTACCATCTCCCACCAATGCAGGGTGACCAAAAAAATGTTTCACACACTTGCTATCTTGACACTTTAGATGCATCTCCAAACATTCAATATCCCAAAGACCTTAAAAGTGCATTGTACTTTTCACCTCCAGGACTCAAGTCCAGCTAACCAGTTTCCCTTCACAAAATATTACCCTGCTAACACTAACAACCTATCAAGTCCCAAAAACCATTCATTTCCATTCACTAACATACATGCTGCCCTTTCCTATCCCTCCCAAGTCATCCTATATTTCTCCATCCTCTAAATGACCAAACTACCCCTCAGCCCTCTGAATACTTTTAGTAACCTCACACTTTCAAATTTCCACACTACAAATTCTTTGCATATTTACACCACAGATTACATCTTCACTGTGTCCAGCCGCCGCCTCACTGCAACATTTACAACCCATGCTTCACATCCATACAAGTGTGATGGTACTACTATACTCATACATTCCCTTTGTCTCCACAGATATCTCAATGCACCACCCACCTTTTTGTCCATCAATTATGCGCTTTACCTTGTCCTTCATAAACCCTATCTACTGACAAGCCTCCTCCCAAATACCTGGACACATTCAATTCCCTTTTCTATCCCCTCCAATCTAATTTGTCCTTATCTAAATTGTTTGATACCCACCACCTTACTCTTATCTATGTTTTACACATACCTATATATGCATATGTATTTTCAAATATTACTGGTTGTCAGATGCTGGAGTTCAACAGGGTCCTCAGGGTCTGGCATAAGGTGGATGCACTGTTAGAGAGTGGCTGTTAGTATTATGCTTATATTGTAATATATGCCCTTATTTGCACATGACACTTTAAAAGAAACATGTAAATGCAGTAAAAAAAAAAAAATCAGCGAAAGTGATCAATTAGGGCCAAAAATTTTAATTTCTAAATTTCAGTATTTTCATATTCTGAATTCCATTACAGAAACATGACTTAGATGAATTATGTTAAGTTTTTTGCTGCATGATAATCACTGTTTCTACTGAAAGCAAATCTGTTATTGGCAAACTGATTTAACTCATCTGAAGGAATTCAAGCCCAGTTTTATAGCTATTTTATTATATTCTAAGGCAAGAAGTGTATAGTGTATAAACCATCAAAATTTCTGGGGACTCTCACTTATAATGTTTAAAATGACTGGTAAAAGTCTTACACCTGGTAGTACAGTATTTGCATTATTTTTTAAATTGGAAACACTAAACCAGTAGGGGTAATAGATGCCTGGCAATATAGAGAAACTCAGGTTCAAAGAGAACAGGTCTAATGCCTTGGATCAAGAGCACCTCACCAGCATTAAAGCATCTTTACCTGAGGGGATTCCTGATAGATGTGATTTCCTCTCACATTAAAAAAAATTTTTTGATATTTTAATTTTTCTAACAATCAATAAATTTTAAGTTATTTTAATACGAGAGGAAATTACATCCATCAGGAATTCCCCCAGGTAAGGATGCTTTGATGCTGGTAAGGTGCTCTTGATCCAAGGCATTGGACCAGTCCTCCTTTTCTTTGATCCTGATTGCCTCTATCTTGCCAGTGAGCAAACATAACATACAAATACCAGTAACCCTTCAGACTGCAACATTCTCAACTCCCCCTTTTAGTGTAGGCACTATTTCCCACCTCTTGGACTGCAGTTTCCTTGAATCCCTTGCTCACAAGTCTACCGGATGCTCAAGCCCCTGGCATTCAAAACCTTAACCCCATCCTCTTTCCCTTTACCCCTGAATTCCACTCCCTTTTGGTTATCTTATTCTGCTCCATCCTCTCTAAATACCCTAACCACTTCAACAACAACCTCTCCTTGCTCCTCTGAATTATACCTTTGGTAACCTCACATCTAATTTCTACAATATTCTGCATAATATTCATCCAACACATTGCTCTCAAACATTTCTGTACTGCCTCCAGCTTTCTCCTTGCTGCAGTGCTTAACCCTTCCACTGTTGAGACCCCCTGCTCACAAACTTGCTCTCAGTGTTGAAGAATTTAAAATTTGTTTTTCTTATGAAATTACGGAGAATCTTTTCCTGATGGTAATGACACCAAAAGTATGGAATTACGCTCTTGCGAAGTTAGCGGTCTCAAATATTTATGCATCGGTGATTTCGCCCACTTTTAGTCCTATTTTTGGCCAATTCCATTGTTCCAGTCAACCAGACTCAGTTATTTTACTAGAACCCCATTGTTCTATCAACTGAGTACAAGAAATCACCCATTACCAATTTCAGCTACACAATAAAGTGATCAGAAACTGGTAATTTGGCCAATTTCATACATAATTCAAGGCCAATTTCATAACAGGGTCCAGAATTAACAATATAAACATTCCTAGCATGTCTCCAGGCCCCTCTTATATTATGCTTGCTTTCCATTTTGAATTTTTATTCACACAAAAAAATAGAAGATTTACTGTTATGCAGACTGCTGCATTATTGTAAAAATGGTATAAATAATATCAGTGCATTTGTGAAAGCATATTAGACCCACCAGTTGATGTATATTGGATGTGTGACAAGATTTGTTTACTCTTGAACATCTGCAAAAATTGAACATTTTTACTATTTTGAGCTCAATTACAAGGTACTTCAAGTTTGTAAACAATTCAAAATCATCTCTATTTCTGTAACAGATCTTCCATTCTATCAAATAAGACCAAGAAAACAATACAACCATAAATACCATACGAAAACATGTACACCGCAAAGTCAGTGTTTTAAACTAAAAATGTGGTTGGATTTTTTTTTTTTTTTATACTGCACACATTGACCACTCAGACCATTTTCTCATATGTAGGCCTACCAGCTTTCTCTCGCAAGATTGGAAGCACCCAGAATTTTGGCATAATATTATGGGACCGACACTGGCTTGCAAGCTGTAACATTACGGGACCAACAGTGAAAGTGTTAAAATCCATGCCACAGACCCTAGTACATTTCCAAATTAGCATCCATAGATAAACTTACTTTCCATGAATGTCTCAACACACCTTTTCTCCTCGTCTATTCTGTGGTCCATATTAGAAGTTGGCTCTTCACAGGGCCATCAGGTAATATGTCCACTCTAAAATAAGTGAACACATTCACTTTCTCCATATTTCCTACCTGCAATCCAATAACCTTGCTCCTGTCTATGCTCACTTTCAATTTTATTCTTTAATGTATTCTCCCAGCCTTTGTAACTTGTCTTTCAAAATAATTTTTGACTGGCAAAGAGTAACCACAACAGCTCCCACTCTGTACTGGATTTGTAATCCCACACCCCGTCTCCAGCATATTATTGCTCTGTTTACTAGTGAATGTGAATCTTTCTTGACAAAGAATGTGATCATTGAATAAATTATGCATTACTGAAATTTAAGTTAAAAAGCCATGTCATTTATCAAAAACTGGTTATGACAATGGAAAATCCCTCACCTGTACCCTATTTGTTGACAATATTTTTAAACCAAAATACAGTGGTCTCTCGCTTTTCGTAGTTCTCGGGAATCATAAATTTCGGAAATCATTGGATTTTTTTTTTTTTTTTTTTTTTTTTTTACAAAGTTTGGCCGTCTCCCACCGAGGCAGGGTGACCCAAAAAAGAAAGAAAATCCCCAAAAAGAAAATACTTTCATCATTCAACACTTTCACCACACTCGCAAAAAAATTATCACTTTTTTCCCAAGTGTTCAAATACACAGTTTAGAACATACACATATAAATACAAAACTATCCTCCAAACTCCCAATATCCCAAAACCCCTCCTTTAAAGTGCAGGCATGTACTTCCCATTTCCGACTCCAAGTCCGATATATGAAAAAAACCGGTTTTTCCCGGGAATCCCTTCACTAAATATTACCCTGCTCACACTCCAACAGATCGCAGATCCCAAAAGTCCCATTCGTTCTCCATTCACCCCTATCTAACCGTTCACGCACGCTTGCTGGAAGTCCAAGCCCCTTCCCAAACAAACTCCTTTACCCCCTTTGAGGACGCCCTACCCCGCCTTCCCTTCCCCTATAGATTTATAGCTTTCCATTCTTTCTTTGATCCATTCTCTCTAAATGACCAAACCACCTCAACAACAACCCTCTTCTGCCCTCTGACTAATACTTTTTTTTTTCCTTCCAACTTTTCCTATTTTCCCCCACTCCGAATTTTCCTGCATAATATTTACACCACACATTCCCTTAAACAGGACACTCCACACCTCCAACCGCTCCTCGTGCGCCATTTACCCCCTAAGCTTCCACCCATTAAGGTGTTGGTCTACTATACTTTCATACATTCCCTTCTTTCCCTCCATAGAAAACTTTTTTTTTGACTCCACATATACCTCAACGCACCACTCACCTTTTTTCCCTCATCAATTCTATGATTAACCTCATCCTTCATAAATCCATCCGCTGACACGTCAACTCCCAAGTATCTGAAAACATTCACTTCTTCCATACTCCTCCTCCCCAATTTGATATAAATTTAATATAAATATTTTCGTATAAACATGGGCTCCCTAATCATAGGTTGACTCGCGAATAGTAATTCGTCCGGGACGTGTACGCACGGTGTGAGCCGGAGCGGCCTCCCTACCCAGCCAGTCTGGCATTGTTTACCAGTGAGCAAAGGTCCCCTCACGTGCTCCTACGAAATATTTCATAATATTCCACTCATTTTAGTGCTTGCAAGTACTAAATAAGCTACCATGGCTCCAAAGAAAGCTCCTAGTGCCAAGCCTGTGGTAAAGAAGGTGAGAAATACACCAAAGCAATGTTTCACAGGTGCTTGACTGTGACCACAGACACTCACTTGACCCTAAGGGAATTTTGGAGAACACTTCAGCATCCTCTATTGCATAACCCTTATAGGTATGGCTTGGGAGGGAGTGACTACCAGGGCTTTGAACTCTGCCTGGAGAAAATTGGGGCCCAGATTGTGTCGCCCAAGAGGGATTTGAAGGGTTTGGGACTGACCCTGATGAGCCTATATCTGTTGTTAAATCAATTGTGGCACTGGAGATTTTCCATGGGTTTGGATGTGATTTGGAGGATGTGGAAGAGTTGGTGGAAGACCACAACGAAGAGCTCACCACTGGGGAGCTGCAAGAGCTTCAGCAGGAACAGCAACAGTTCGCAGCACAGAACCCTTGCTGCAGAGGAGGAAAGGAAGAGAGATGGGAAAAAGGTGCCTTCTTTTAGAAATTAAAGAGATTTTTGCTATGTGGGGTAAGATGGAAAGCTTTATGGAGAAACATCACCCTGACAAAAGGGTTTTTTGTAAGCCATGTTGGCAACATGTACAGTGACAAAGTCTTGGGCCATTTTTGGGAAGTGTTAAAGAGACGCTAGAAACAGAGCTCTCTCCACAGTTATTTTGCGAGACAGGACTCCACTGACTCTCAAGGTGGTCCTAGTGGCATTAAGAAACAGAGAAGAGAAGCAACCCCAGAAAAGCAATTGGTACCTGAGGTGTTGCTGGAAGGGGATTCCACTTCCGAACTGTAAACAATCCAATCTCTCTCCTCCTCCAGACTCCCATACACTAAGAAGAATCTCCAATAAAGGTAAGTGTTATGCTGTTAATGTTTCATTCATTTCCCATTGTATTGTTTATGTACTACATCTATATTTCATGTAAAAAATTTTTTTGTTTTAATACTTCTGGGTGTCAGGAATGGATTAATTGTATTTACATTATTTCTTATGGGGAAAACTGATTCGCAAATAGCAGATTTCGATAATAGTAGCAACTCCAGGAACAGATTAACTACGAAAAACAAGGGACCACTGTATTGTTATAAAGAACATTTTACACATCTATGTCTGGTGCTTGAGAAAATGGACAAATGACCTCCAAAAAAGTTTTCTGTCATGTCCACAACTGAAAATTAGGGTAAAACAAAACGGCTCTTTCCCTTTCTCAACACACACATCCATTGCCATGGCAGATAACTTAAGTAGAATATGTATAAGAAACCTAAATGCAGTTTAATATTTAAAAAAAATATGAATGACTTTAATAAAATTAACTTTAATGATGTGCAGCACTAATTGGTAGGCCTTTAAAAAGCTAACAAAACAATCAACTGAATTAAGGGATGTAAACTATAATGGTCTTTCCACTTGGAATGGAATACTGACAGCGGCAGTCTTCACGGTTGGGGATGAAAAGGAGGTCATCAATGGCCCAGGCGCTGCGGGTTACTCTGCCTTCTATGATCATCTGCAAGTGAATCTATCATCAGTTGCAGTTATAACAATGTTTGCTTTAAAAATACGTACTTTAAAACTTGGCATGAGCTACAGTTAAAATTTAAGCCAAAGTTTTTTTTTTTATTTCTTCACCTCAAGGTAAATTATAAAATTACAAACTCTTCATTATCATGTATAATTATACAAAAAGAATCAAAGCACTATAAGAAATAATTAAGTTACAGTATATATATAACTGTAAAAGTAGGGGAGTTGTAGTGGTGTAGGAGCAAACTGAAGAAGTGTGGGAGTGAGTTCAAGGGATGTGGGAGTTAAATATTTAAATGATACTGACTACAACCCCAAATATGATGCTAAAAAAAGGATATTGAGAATCTTGTACATATATAGCCTATATATTTGATCCTAAACTGATTATACTGCACCCATGTTAATGTTAGCTAAAGAAAAATTTCTTTGGTCTTTGGAATTAATGAACAAAGGACTCAAGAATTAAATTTTTGGCTGTCTAATGCAAATATTGCATTTGGTCACCTGTTTGAATATTATGTGCTCGATTAAAGGATATAGAGAAGGGCATTATCACCTATGCAATATGTCAAGGTATCTTATTAATGAAAATAAGATAACATTTAAGCAAATATCCAAAATTTGCTTGTAACAGATGAAATCTAAATTTTAGATATACAAACCTGGTAATTATTTGGGGGTATGTTCTTAGGATTTCTGTGCACCAATAAAACTCTTGTCTACCATTCACAGGATGAATGTGTGCACAATAACCGCTTCTGTGGTAAAAAATAAATATTTTCTTCTACTGAGACAATACACCACTATGTGATGTTAGTTTAATATCTTTTTATGCACCCCATACCAATCCTGTGGGGGCAGTCATAAGATTAAGGAGGCAAAATAGTGGGTCCAGGACTGGGCCTTCAAGTTTTGACAGCTAAACAAGTTACAGTGAAAATGAATTATTTACATGTTTATTTCTGGTTGCAATCATGAATTATTTATGGAGACATAATTAATCACAAAATAATCTGCATGGTAGATTATTTGTGGTTCTGATTTTTTTTTCAATCTCACCAGCCATATCCCACTGAGAAGTAGGGCGATCCAAAAGATTTTTTTTTTTTTGTTTATTAATTCATAAGAAGAAGGTATTACTAGCCCTCGCTCCCAGCATTTTAGTCGTCTTTTAGGACTACACGTGGCTTTACAGAGAGATAGAAATTCTTTTTCTATTTCCCCAAGGAGATAAGCGGCAAATAAAGAACAAGAACTGAGCGTGTGTTAGATCATAGGTGTGAATGGAGACGAATGGTACTTGGGGACTGACTATCTGTTGGAGTGGTGAGCAGGGTAATATTTAGTGAAGGGATTCAGGTAGTAGGTTGGTAGACAAGCAAACCACACCAGGGAATACTTACCGCCTGCGAGACTGTGAAACAAAACCTGTAAACTGTTTTGCATGATGGTAGGATTGTGGTTCTTTTTTCTGTCTCATAAACACGCTAAGATACAGGGGATTATCTTGCTACTCCTACTTACACTTTGGTCACACTTCACAGACTCGCACATGCATATTTATATATACATACATCTAGGTTTTTCTCCTTTTTTCTAAATAGTCTTGTTCTTTTTTATTTCTTCTATTGTCCAGGGAAGTGGAAAAGATTCTTTCCTCGTAAGCCATGCGTGTCGTATGAGGCGACCTAAATGCGGGAGCAATGGGCTGTAAACACCCTTCTCCTGTATACAATTACTAAAAAGATGAAGAAAGAAAAACTTTATAAAACTCGGGTTGCTTAAATGTTGCGTGGATGTAGTGCGGATGACAGAAACAGATGATTGTGATGTTATTGAATGAAAAGAAGTTGGATGTCCTGGCCCTAAGCGAAACAAAGCTGAAGGGGGTAGGGAGTTTCGTGGGGGGAAATAAATGGGATTAAATCTGGAGTATCTGAGAGAGTTTAGAGCAAAGGAAGGGTAGCACAGTAATGTTAAATGATCGTTATGGAAGGAGAAAAGAGAATATGAATGGTGAATGCCAAGAATTAAGTGGATTAAAGTAAAGGTGGGATGCAGAGAGTGGGTATAATATGCGTGTATGCACCTGGATGAAGAGAGGAATGCAGAGGAGAGAGAGAGTTTTTGGGGAGTTAAGTGAATGTATTAGGTGCCTTTGAAACCAATGTGAGAGAGTATTGTGGTAGGGGACTTGAATGCTAAAGTAGGAGAAGAAACTTTTAGAGAGGTGTGTGGTAGGTAAGTTTGGGGTGCCAGGTGTAATTTGATAATGGAGCCCTTTGATTGAACTTTGTATAGAAAGGGGTTTTGTTATAGTAATACATAGTTTTAAGAAAAGAGGAATAAATAAGTATACACGATTGATGTTGGGCGAAAATGACAGTAGTTTTGTTGGGATTATGTCCCCCCCCCCCCCTGATTGGTAATAAAAGACTGTTGAGTAGACCTTCGGATGTACATGTTTATAGAGCGGGCCACGATATATCAGATCACTTTCTAGTTTGTAGCTACACTGAGAGTAAAAGGTTGATGGGATACAAGGGAATAGAAGCATCAGGGAAGAGAGGGTGAAAGGTTATAAAACTAAAAGAGGAGGCAGTTAGGGTAAGATTATAAACAGCTATTGGAGGATGATGGGCTAATGAGAGCATAGACAATGGGTCGAAGGGTATGGGGTAGGTTTAAAAATGTAGTGTTAGAAGTGTTCAGCAGAAGTTGTGGTTACGGGAAAGTGGGTGCAGGAGGGGAAGAGGAGACGATTTGTGGAATGATGATGTTAAAGAGTGTAATTAGTAAGGGAGAAAAAGTTAGCATGAGAAGTTTTTACAAAGTAGAAAGTGATGCCAATGGAGGAAGAGTATATGGAGAAAAAGAGAAGAAAGTTGAAGAGGTGTGGAAGAGCAATGGAAAAGATAGAGCAAATGAGAGAGTGGGTGAGATGTTATCAAAAATTTTGTTGAAAATAAGAAAAAAGTATGGAGTGGATTAACAAGTTAAGAACAGGAAAGCCTAGAGAACAAATGGATTGTCAGTTTAAAAATAGGAGAGGGAGTTATTAAATGGGAGAGTTAGCAGGTATTGGGAAAAGATGGAAGGAATATTTTGAGAATTAGTAATGTTTGATGAAGATAGGAAGCTGTGTGATTTCATGTATAGGGCAAGGAGGGAATAACATCTTGTAGAGTGAGGAAGAGCCAGGTGTGAGTGTGGGGGAAGTTCGTGAGGCAGTAGGTTTAAAATGATGGGGGGTAAGGCAGCCGGGTTGATGGGAATTAAAGATAGAAATGTTTAAAGCAGGGTGGGGATATAGTTTGGGTGGGTTGGTTAGCAATTTTTAATAACTGTTGGAAGAGGGTAAGGTACCTAGGGATTGGCAGAGAGCATGCATAGTTCCTTCTGTTAAAGGCAAAGGGGATAAAAGACGAGTGCAAAATTATAGGGGATAAGTCTTTGAGTGTACCTGGTAAAGTGTAGGTAGAGTTTTATAATTGAAAGAATTAAGAGTAAAGCGGAGAATAGGATAGCAGAATGAACAAGGAGGGCTTTTAGGGAAGGTAGGGGGGTGTGTGGACCAGGTGTTTACAGTGAACATTAAGATAACTGTATTTAGATAAGGGCTAAAGAGGTTTTGTGGCATTTATGGATTTGGAAAAGGCGTATGACAGGGTGGATAGGGGGGCAATGTGGCAGATGTTGCAAGTGTATGGTGTAGGAGGTTTGTTTCTGAAGCAGTGAAGAGTTTTTATGAGGATAGTGAGGCTCAAGTTAGAGTTGTAGGAAGAGCGAAATTTTTTCCCAGTAAAGTAGGCCTTAGACAAGGATGTGTGATGTCACCGTGAGTTGTTTAATATATTTATTAGATGGGGTTGTAAGAGAAGTAAATGCGAGGTCTTGGCAAGAGGCGTGGAGTTAAAAAGATAAAGAAATCACACACAATATTGGGAGTTGTCACAGCTGCTCTTTGCTGATGACACTGTGCGTTGGGTGATTCTGAAGAGGAAGGTAGCCAGAGATTGGTGGATGAATTTGGTAGGTGTGTTGCAAAAGAAGAAAATTAAAGGTGAATACAGAAAGGACGTAAGGTTATGAGGATAACAAAAAGATTAGTGATGAAAGATTTGAATATCAGATTGGGAGGGAGAGAGTATGGAGGAGGTGAAGTATTCAGATATTTGGGAGTGGACGTGTCAGCGGATGGGTCTATGAAAGATGAGGTGAATCATAGAATTGATGAGGGAAAAGAGTGAGTGGTGCATTAGGGAGTCTGTGGAGTACAAAGAAACTTTGTCCTGGAGGCAAAGAGGGGAATGTATGAGAGTAATTAGTTTTACCAACGCTCTTATATGCGCGTGTGAAGCGTGGGCTGATGAAATGTCTGCAGCGAGGAGAAGGGACTGGAGGCAGGTGGAGATGTCATGTAGAGGGCAATGTGTGGTCGTGATATAATGCAGAGAATTCGGTTAGTTTGGAGTTAGGAGGAGGTGCGGGATTAACCAAACTGTTGTCCAGAGGGCTGAGGATAGGGTTGTTGAGGGGGTTCGGACATGTAGAGAGAATTGGAGCGAAACAGATGACTTCAAGAGTGTACAGTCTGTAGTGGAAGGAATTCGGGGTAGGGGTTCGGCCTAGGGAAGGGTTGGAGGTGAGGGAGGTAAAGGAGGTTTGTGTGCGAGGGGCTTGGACTTCCAGCAGGCATTGCGATGAGGTGTTTGATAGGAGTGAATGGAGACAAATGTTTTAATACTTGACGTGCTGTTGGAGTGTGAGCAAAGTAACATTTATGAGGGATTCAGGGATCGGCAGGCCGGACTTGAGTCCTGGAGATGGGAAAAGTACATTGCCTGCACTCTGAAGGAGGGGTGTTAATGTTGCAGTTTAAAACTGCTAGTGTAAAGCCCCTTCTGGCACAGGCCAGTGTATGGAGTGAATGATGGTGAAAGTTTTCTTTTTGGGCCCCCCACCCCTGCCTTGGTGGGA